ACAACACAGATCCTTTCAGCAGTTCCAAGAAGACTCCACACCCATTTGCACCACTCAGGTGACCCTGAGGACAGAGATAAACTTCCAAGTGGCCTCAACAGCCCTCTAAAAAGAATGCAAATGACCAGTTGTCTGCAAAGAATACCAATCCTTCCCTTCTCCACCATCCATCCTTTCAGCAGTTCCAAGAAGACTCCACACCCATTTGCACCACTCAGGTGACCCTGAGGACAGAGATAAACTTCCAAGTGGCTTCAACGGCTCTCTAAAAAGAATGCAAATGACCAGTTGTCTGCAAAGAGTACCAATCCTTCCCTTCCCCACCATCCATCCTTTCAGCAGTTCCAAGAAGACTCCACACCCATTTGCACCACTCAGGTGACCCTGAGGACAGAGATAAACTTCCAAGTGGCCTCAACGGCTCTCTAAAAAGAATGCAAATGACCAGTTGTCTGCAAGGAGTACCAATCCTTCCCTTCCCCACCATCTAGTCAGAAGCGAAGTGTCTTCAAAGAAAAAAAAACCTAGAAAGTCCAGTTTTCTCTTGGGAAAAAAAGCACCTTTGAGTTCCCTTTATGTTTCAAGTATTTCTGGAAGACAATGCAGGAATCCTCACCTCCTCAGGTCGGCTCAAAGCGTGACCTTCTGGTCCTGTTATTCCCAATGCCAGCACCCTCTTTTGCTCCTGAAACAAAAGAGGCCACGGTGATTCCTTGGGTGGGGGATGTGGGGTAGAGATCCCCAAATCATAGGAAGCCAGTAGAGGCTTCCTGGGCATATCAGAAGATACCGTTTTCATTTATTAATTCATGTCTCTCACCTGAGCTATCAAATCCCCATTTTCTGCGTGGACCATGATAACAGCTCCGAGACTTTTCAGGAATGTAAATGCTTCGTAGAGCTGTGTGTAATTGACAGAGAAGAGGAGGAGGAGGAAGAGAAGAAGAAGAGGAGGAGGAGGAGGAGGAGGAGGAGAGGAAAGAGGAGGAGGAAGAGGAGAAAACAAGGAGGAGGAAGAGGAGGAGAAGAAGAAGAGGAGGGAGGGAGGAGGAAGGAGACGAGGAGGAGGAGGAAGGAAGGAGGAGGAAAAGAAGAAAATGAGGAGGGGGGAGGGGGAAGGAGGAGGAGGCAACAAGGAGGAGGAGAGGGAGGAGGAGGAGGAGAAGAGGAGGGTGGAGGAAGGAGGAGGAGGAAGTGGAGAAAACAAGGAGGAGGAAGAGAAGAGGAAGAGGAGGGAGGAGAAGGAAAAGAAGGAGACGGAGAGGAGGAGGAGGAGCAGAAGAAGAGAGGAGAAGGAGGAGGAAGAGAAGAAAACAAGGAGGAAGAAGAAGAGAAGAGGAAAAGGAGGAGGGAGGAAAGAGCAGAAGAGCAAGAAGAAGAGTAAGGAGGAGGAGGAGGAGGAGAAGAAGAAGAGTGATTTTACATTCTTATTGTTCTCTCAGCTTAAGATAACATGAGATTTTGAAACAGGCAAACTTTATCATGTATGTTCATTATCTCTTCACTCGCAAAATAGCTCATCATCTATTCTCAGTTGAAAGACCTCACTCATGCTGGAAATAACAGTCCAAGCATTTGATTAAGCTCTACAGCCTCCATTAAAATCCCCCTGATCCTTCAACAGGACCCCAAAGAAAGCAGAAATCTAATTCGGGATAAAATGCAAGAGCATCCAACTCAACTCACGAAGTAAAAGGAGAAGAGACAGCGAAACCAAAAATAAAACACGGGTTTTTTCCCCCTTCTCTCTATCCCAGTTAAAAATCAGACAGATCTAAGATTTCAAATCTCATTTAAAAAAAAAAAAAAGGTACGTACTTGGGAATCCGTCAATTGGTAGAGATCCTTGTAGCCCATGTAGACTTGGAAAGAATTGATACCTATTGAGATTTAAAAAAAAAAAAGATGAATTCATTCACACACAACGTAGGTACTTCCTCCACTTATGACCGCAAGAGAGCCCCAAATTTCGGTTGCCAAGTGAAAGATTTGCAAAAGTTGAGTTTTTGCTCCCTCTGAACCACCTTTCTTGCCACCGTTGTTAAGTGAATCACTGCACTGGTTAATTCAGTAACACCAGTGGTGGCGTTCAAATAATTTAACAACCGGTTCTCTGCCCTAATGACCGGCTGGGTGGGCATGGCCAGGAGGTGTGACAGGCAGAACTCCGGCTCCTGTACCTCCCTGGGAGCAAAAATGGGCCGCGGGGGGGAGGGGGAGTGCCACACACATACACACACTCCGTTTTGGGCCTAATAGGCATTACTCCTGGAAGGTGTGGGGATAGGAAGGAATTTAACAACCGGTCCATTCAAACTGGCCCGAACCGGCTGAATCCTACCACTGAGTAACACCGTTGTTAAGTGAATCTTGCTTCCCCCTTGACTTGGCGTGTCAGAAGGTCTCAAAAGGTGGTCATATCACCCGAGGACGCTGCAGCCGTCATAAATACGAGCCAACTGCCGAGCGTCTGAATTTTGATCACGTAACTACCGGGGGGGGGAGCGCTACAATGTTGTAAGTGTGAAAAATGGTCATGTTCCATTTTTCAGCATCGTCGTATCTTTGAATGGTCACTAAATGCACTGTTGTCACTCAAGGCCCATGTGCATAAGGGGATTAGAACTACCTGGTGCCATAAACACATATTTCAACCGACGATCCGCAGAGGGACTGTTTTATTTGGGGATTGATAAACTATCAGAGGCGGTTATTGATAAACAATAACAGAGATCAGCTATTTTTTTTCCTTAGGCAGCACATGTCCAAACGCTGAAGGGTGTCGTGAGCACACTCACAAATTGCTCTCCCCCAGAAACCCTTAGTACAAACCTTTGTCTTGCACCAGATTTTCAAGATCATCCTGGATCCCATCATACCAGTCGGTGATGTCCATGTGCAGAGAATAATCACAACAGGATTTGCTCTCTGCTGCCTCTTTCCATTTTGCAAACGCCGTTAATAAATTGGAGCCGGGCTCTGGAAGGATGTGATCAACTGCAAGAGAAAGAGAAAGAGAGAGAGAAAAAAGAGAGAGACAGAGAGAGAAAGAGAGAGAGAGAGAGAGAGACAGAGAAAGAGAGACAGAGAAAGAAAGAGAGACAGATTGAGAGAAAGAGAGACAGAGAGGGAGACAGAGAGAGATAGAGAGACAGAGAGAGAGAGAGGGAAAGAGAGAAACAGAAATAGAGACAAAGGGTGATGGGATTAAGACACGATCCTCCAGGACATAATAGGATTATCTAGTAGCAGATCTCATTGCATTGCAAAAACTAAGGACATTGCATCAGCCAAACTTCAACCAAACCTTAACTCAGACAAACATGACCCTACATGGCCCCATGGGAGTCTGACTGCAGCCAATAGAATACATTTCTTGCACAGGAACAGGAAGCTCAAGGGCAAAGCCCAAGAGAAGGTATAAATAACCCTCATTCTCAATCCCAAACACATTTGGTTTGGCTTCATCATTAAACCCTCTTTCCAATCAGCCTCCATGTTTCCAGTGTCTTTCTCCCCGCTTGGAACTCAACCAGATGGATATTTCTTCCAACAAACAAAACAACAACAACAACAACCAGAAAGTCTTTTGGGAAAGCACTTTTGGGGAAACCAGAGCCTGGAGGATGGAGAATCTCTGTAGACATCCTGTTGTGGCCTGCCAAGGGCTGGTGAAGAGGTTGGGGAGGAACCTGGGCCAGTCCTGGGGGCTGAGGAAAGCTCAGACGAGGGCTCTGCATCGGAGGCAGAGAGGGAGCTAGAGAGCAGTGAGGCAGAAGAACAGCTGGAGCCTGTTCCCAGTGTGCGCATGCGCAGAGCTGCCAGAAGACAAGAACAACTAAGACAGCAGGGTCGACTTGGGAATAAAGCCAGACCTTGAAGGTGATTGGCCCCTCCCATAGGAAACAAAAAAGGAGTGAACTGGGAGGGGGCTTTTGCAGGAAACAATTCGTACGTTCAGTTGTTTCAAGAGTGAAAAGCTCTGTTTGTGACTATAAGAGACTCTGTGCCGAGTTTGGCCTTCCCCTGCGCTTGGAAACTAGTTATCTGGCAGCTCTCCAAGCGAGATAAGGTTCGTGTGGATAAACATTCCTATGAAAGACTGTTTGCTAAGCCTTGCTGACTGTGAATGAAAGGAATTCACAGTCGTGTAAATAAAAGGGGTTTTGCCGGGACCAAGA